TTGTTCGAAAAGTTGTTCCCGTATATTACTTTTGATTTTTGGTGCCTGCTGGGATGTCCTTTCCCTTAAGTAATGGTTTTCAAAGTGGATCCCTCTTACAAAAACTGACAACAATAATATTTTTGCCGTTGTTAAATTCTCCCTTGTGGAAGTCCTGCGGTTTTGAGCACTAATTTTGACGGAGTTTGTGGCTACAATAACAAATATCTGTAGAGTACATAAATATTTTTGATTTATTGCTCGCCGGCAAACAACTCATATTCAATTTATTTGCCTAGCATAAGTGAAAGTATTTATCAATAAAAGTTGCCAACTGAAATTGCGTTGACAATTTAACAGTTTTACAGGATGCATACAAGCGCAAACACAACACAAACACACACGCACACGCACGTACCAACACTTACGCAATTTCAAAGAGTTGCATATATTTGGGTACTTCGGACGATTTATGCCATGTCACAGAAATTAATTAAAACACAATCATAAATATAATGTCAAATGATAAATCATTTACATGGCATTGGCTTTGGCTTCAGCTTTTCCGTTTATTATGCATTCAGCCTGAAAAAGGAACACATTTACAATCGGCGTACTACAGAAAGCTTACTTACTACAAGTATTTTGAGCTACAATGAAGAAACAAACAACACAGTAGCACACAAATGAACTGCAACAATAGAACCCTTCACAGTCACACGAAGGAATGTCATTTCAAAAGGTCATGCCTACAGGATACCCTTTCACCTGTTCGATGAGCTCATGTGGCTAAGCTAATTTGCTTGGTGGTAAAACCATAAAATATAATTCCATTCCTAATGGTTTACTATGCTCAAACTTTGATTTACCTACACAAACACAACATATCCTTGTGCCTCACAAATGCGGGGTACTAAATACGAGCCGAGATACTTTTACGCTCACACAGATACACTGCGGATGTGTGGGTTGTATTGTATATTCAACATTTAAAGTGGGGGAAACGTGTTGACCTCGTTCCGCTTGCCCTAAAATCGCCCCAGACAGACAACGGCCACGCCCACCGCCCGAAGCCCTAAGCTCTCGCCCTTTGCACAGAAACACACAATGTAACAAAGTGAAAGCCTCATTTAAAGGGGGGAAATTACGAAAAAGATTTCGCAAATGTTTCTATGCACTCGGAAATGCGGTTAAAATAATCAACATTTGCCAGCAAAAACGTGGACATTTTCGCTCCTTTGCACGCAAATTTTAATTTCGCACATCGTAAAATTTAGCAAGCGAATCCAGCCAAATGGGTAGAGGGGAAAATAAAACGCTTTTGACTACCACGTCAAAGGATATGCGCACCAAAAAGTGGATAAGGGTGGGAAAACGTGGCGTCGGTTGTACTGTCCACATAATGAAAGTATTTCGCTCACGCGGAAGAAAAACGCGTCTAGGCTAGCAAAAATATTTTTCACCAGCCCGCAAGCACATTTTTTCCGGGGGGGTGGACAAAGCATGGAGCTGAATGAAAAAAGAGCACTAGATAAAAACTGTGTAGTGATAAATGAAAAAACGTAATTAAAAACGCATCTCGCACACACACAGAGAAACACAAAACAATCGTGGGGGAAAGAGGAAGCATTGATAAAGGAAATGCAAATTGAGACCGCCAAGGACGATGGTATCGCGCGAGGCGGGGGGAGGTGGGTTGTAAGTCTAAACAAAGAGCCAGGACGAGCACGAACTGCAAAGGGAAAGTCCTTGGCCAACTAGTGAAAGTGTGCATTAGGCTGGATATTCCGATTATACGGTGCGTATCTTCAAGGTCTAAGCTTAAAGATAATATATCTTAAATTCGTCAAATACAATCGAAAATGATCAAACATTGATCACAGTCATTTTCTTTCGAAGAATCCAATTTTTCCAATGCAAATTGGTGGTAGTATCAGCCAGTTTTTACCGAATGCCCCTTAAAACTGCCCTAATTGAACGGCCAAACAATAATAGTAATTATTCATGGCACAAAGCCTGCGGGCCTCCTCTGCGCTGACCAATCTCATCATTATTCCACTCCTGGCATCATTATAAACAAAATAAGGATGGTGGTCCTTCCGGGCAGGCGGTGCGGAAACGGAAATGGTAACACAAAATGGCGGCTGGTCACGACCTGGACTGCGAGAGGGGGCGCGCGGTTCAGGGGGCGTGGCAGGAGCAGGGCAAACAAAGGCAATTCCAGTCACCAGCAGAATCTGAACCGGGCTCAGGCCATCTGGCATTGGCAACGTGTTTTAAATTATAAATAATCATGGCCACTGAGTTTCAGACAAAACCCAGACTCACACACACAGACACGCCCACCCTTACTCACACACACACACACACACACAGGATAGGATATATGCACTCAAACTCGAACACAGTCACAAGCGGATCTGCTTTTTCGGCATTTAATTGAATAAAACATCAGTGTGTAATAAGTTGTGCGTTTGTAGCCCTGGAAAAACTTTTGGCAACTGGCAAACGCATTCCCCGCCATTACAATTTATATTAATGTGCTTTCCCCCAATTTTCCCAGTACTGGATGCTCAGCAAGGCGGGTGAAATCCGTCGCGACGACTCCTGTCTCGATTATGCCGGCAAGGATGTGACGCTCTTCGGCTGCCACGGGGGCAAAGGAAATCAGGTGAGTGGATGAAATATGTATGACGGTAGAAGGTACTATGAAAATATTCCAATAAAATGTATTTCACGTTCATGAGTGATGTTTCACTTTCATGTATGTAGACGGTGATAACTTGAATACGTAAATGCGACCTTAAAGTCGTTTCTTTTTGTAGTCATCTAAAGTGTTAATTTACGTTATTTAAACCGTTTAAAGACTACAAGAAAAAATAACATGGTTTTGAAATTTTTTAAAGCAAAGAAAATTAAATAATAATATTGCCCTAACCGCAAGGTTCAGGAAAATGAATTTAGAGCCCAAGGGAGTAGTCCTCTAATCGAATCCTTTACTTCTAGTTCTGGACCTACCGCGAGAACACAAAGCAGCTGCACCACGGCACCTCAGGCAAGTGTCTGGCCATCAGCGAGAGCAAGGACAAGCTGCTGATGGAGGAGTGCAACCAGAGCCTCAATCGCCAACAGTGGACCCTCGAGAACTACGACAGCTCCAAGTTGTGAGGCTACTTCTATGCGAGGGGCAACCTCCTGTTGCCCACTTCGCGGCGACACCAGCAACCACATGCATAGCAGCAGGACGAGAGGAGGAAGCAGCGGCAGGACATGAAGTGGCGACAGGAGTTGGAGTAATTAAATTCCCCCGAGGCATGTGCAATAGGCAGTGGAAGAGGGACGATCGGATGGCAGCATCAGGAGCAGCAGACGCAGCAGCAGCAGCATCACTTGCCATGCTATCTATATATTATACAAGTTTATATGTTTCCAAACAACAGTGTAGACGTTACTTAGCCCTAAGTACCACACATCCACAGACTAGACAAACAGACACTGAAAAGGGAACGACTGCTGTACAGTAGCTATAAGTTGATAAGATTTCTAGCCCTAAGTTCCGGCCTAATGGAGCCCGGCCAGGGACATGTGCTGGCCAACAAAGCGAAGTCGTAGCGCAATTTTTGCATTTAAATTTGTAAACATTTAGCACAATTTATGGAAAGTGTGAACCGTGTCTCTGTGTCCGAATTATTTATGAATTTTACAAATGTCATCAAATGGCTCTGCGAAAGCCTCATTCCAAATATATGTTTTAGCGGTAAGCCCTAGGCTAAGTCTGAGTTGGAAAGCATTTGGTGATAGCCTTTGTTTCGCCCGAGACCCCGAGCATTCCCGTTTATATGAATTCTTGTACCTATCTTTCTGTATATCCATTGAAATGGCGAACCAAAATTTTGATTTTATTTATTTTCGTACGACTTAGGAACAGTCTTGTGTTGCTTAATTTTTAAACGAGGAGCGTTGCCAAATTACGTTTAATCTTTAGATTTCGGGTAACTTTGTGTTCTTTGAAAATCCAAATCCGTTGCATTTCCTTTCGTTGGATTCTCAAAACGACAACAACATATCCTATTTGTTGGAAAAAGCCAGCTTGTAGTACTTACATATATCAGTTTCCAATCTACCGATATCACACAAGATATATATAGCGTTAGGCCCTAGTAGTTAGACCTTAATGCAAATGTGCATAGTGCCTTCTATTTATTACGGACGCATTCTTACACATATGCTATTGTATCGTTCATCGAACTCTTGTAGAATTAGGCTAGGTCACAATCACAGCGACTGTGTATATACTATACTATACAATTTCATATCGCATCCTGCAGAATGTGTACATAACTATGATTAAATACTGTTTTATTCAAGACTAAAACGTACATATTATATCAATACGATAGCCAACAGTTGCGCATTGTTTTTCATTTGCTATGTTTTATTCCAGCCAGCGAGCTTCGTCGTAGGCGGCATTTACATTTTACGTACGAAACCAAAAGCCATAGGAAGTGGTCGATCATCTTTTTTAAACTAAACTTACAATAGTTAACTAAGCGCGTAGTAAATGTGTAGTAATAACGCAAATATTGTGCAAGGAATCAGATACAGTTATAAATAAATATGTAAATTGAAGCTCTGGTTGCATTACGTACATTACCTTGTTTTGGGAATTACACTTATTTTAGAGACCTGAAAATATTATAACCCAATTAACGTTTATCCAACTCATATTTTATGGAATGTGCTTAAGAGGGTCTAAAAAGATCAAAAAGACAAGTGGAAAGTAAAGAACATCTGATATGCCTTAGCCATCTATGAGTCATTAGCAGAACTAAGAGCCACCTACCGGAAGGTTTTTCTTTGTCCATGTAAAAATTCAATTAGAACACGATTTTACACGCTACTCGTGTAAGTAAATTGTAGAGGGCCAGAAGTATTATTTGAATACAAAATTCTTTAATATTTTTTACTGTTAATTTTATACATTTAATAAAATGAAGTACTGCAATATTCAGGGCTTAAAATCAGGTATCACTTTGCACAGCAGGCTCGCGTGGAGTGAGCACCAGCACCTCGTACACAAGCCCGCCGACCTCCTTTCCCTTATGTGGTATGAAAATTCTATTGTAGGAGGGGTGCACCTTGCCCAGCCGCAAAACTCCTTTGTACAAAGCCCGTCCCGTGTAGGTGACCTCGCCCCAATGCGAGTAGCCAGTGGGCAGCGCATCCTGCGGATATGAGCCATTCGTTCCGTCCACCCACTGGTGGTCGCAATCTTTCAGCACCAGCAACTCCACTCCATCGGTTAGAGCGTATGCCAAACCGTTCCAGCCGCCGAAGGCAACCTTCTTCCGTGGCACATAGTGGGCCGGCAGGCGATCGTTGTCGAAGTAGGCTCGTGCCACATAAGCGGGATTCCCCTCATCATCGAATCCACACTGAACGGCTTCGTCGGACAGCAGGTGCGAGTACTCTGATCTGCTGTCCTCATCCAGTTCCATGGGCCGCCACTCGAAGTGCTCATCCATTTTGTAGAACTTGTCGTCTGAAGGTGGATCATCGCACGTCTCTGTGACTTGGGCGAAGTTCAGATAGAGTCTGGATGCAGAACGACCACAGGCGGTCCGGCATTGTGGGCAGGTGAGGGATCTGCTTAGCCAGCGGCTCAGGCAGCTGGAGTGGAAGGCATGACCGCACCTATTAGAGTGGCAAACGTTGTCATTTGCACGAAAGAACTCTTTGCATACGGAGCACAGCACATTCAAAGCCGGCGCGGAATCTGTCGGACGAATTGCGTCATCAGCGCTGTTATTTTCGGCTTTTTGACCCTCCATGTCGCGGTTCTTTGCATCACTGAGCTGCGGCAAGCTTGGAATTTGTTTTTTATAATCGAGTACTTCTTCGAATGCTCAGAGAGGCAGAATAAACAAACAGAATAAGAAAGCACATCTATTATGATACGAGCACGTTGTGCTTTTCCCCACCTTAAAAATTGCTGGGCATGAAACGAAATAGCACCAAGTACATCTTGTATTTAAAAAATCTTGCAAGTAATATTATGTTGGTGAAGCAAAATACCTCTTTTCTTAAATATAATTGAAATTTAAAAACGCAGTTGTATAACATTGCAGCAGTTTTATTTGTTTGACAACTTCATTTCCCATTTACACATTGGCATTCTGTTTGATCCAGGACCTGAGGGCACCCACGTACGTGTACATGGCCGGACGTCCTTTGGCTCCGCAACCGAATCCCCATGACACCACACCGAAGAGCTTGCCTTCGACGGTCAGTGGACCACCGGAGTCTCCCTGGCAGGAGCTCACTTGGCCACTGGGATGTCCGGCACACACCATGCGATCTGTGAGGCCGGGAATGTTTTGGGCATTGCAGTAATCACGGCTCCATAACTGCACCTGGGCAAATTTCAAGCGGTTGGGCAGCTGCAGGTTCTGATTGATGGCGCCGAATCCGCTAATCATTGCCATCGTATCCGCGGCATAATTGGAGTCCGAATCTGCCAGTTGAATGGTCTGTACAGCTCCTCCCATCTGAACCGGACTGCTCAGCTTGATCAGCGACATATCAAAGTCCTGGCTCTGCGGATTGTACCGCGGATGGATGATGAACTGGGCAATGTTAAAGGTCTGGCCATTTCCGGCGCTCAAATCGTTTGTTCCCACGATGGCCTTCATTTGGCCGGGATTCTGTCCCATGGTGCAGTGGGCTGCTGTTACGATCATGGTCTCGGAGATTAGGGAACCACCGCAGTGATGGCGTCCGTTCAACTGGAGGGACACCTGGTGGGGAAATTGTCCCGGGGCAGCAAACTGGCCACCAATAATGCGTGACTCTTCTGCCGCATCTACATCACCGTGAACAAAAGTGACGGCGAGGAGCAGGATCGCTAGCTTCACTGGATTGTTTACCGAATACATAGCAAAGGTTGAGTGTTTCGAGTGTGGTTCAGTTGTTCTCTATTTATAGGACTGGTGTGGTGTTATGTTCGAGTGGTTTTATCGCCTAAATGGCACACTTTTTCCCATGGAAGAGACCCCGTTTGGTGGTGGCGTAGGTGGGGGGTCGATTTTTGGGTAGTCAACTCATTTTATTAATACTGCGCAAACAAAAACGAGTACCAGAAATCGCATTTCTAGAAATTTATTTCATAACACTGCTAGGATTTGAATACATATTATGTTATCTGCAGAACTTCAATGCTCATTAACCAATAATCTTAAGTGCCGTCCCACTTCTTTCTCTCCCAACTAGCTGTCATGTGCCAATTTCTATCTAGGCCACACAGTAGGGGCTCGGCTCGACAAAGTTTATGTGCAAAATTTAAATTTCAGCCACATAAAACACCTAAAACATCTAGCACATACCAACTCATATTGACGCTCTACTAAGCTTCAAAGCCAAATTAGTGAGACGTAGAATTTGCAGACTTTGATCCAGTCTGGTGGCCGTTGCTAATCATCCACACGTTCTTCCATATCTCATGCCTGTAGATATTGCGATAGTTCTGCACGGACACCAGAAATTCGGGGCCAAAGAGGGTTTGGATTAAAACATTTTCGGCAGCTAGGTTTCGATTTGTGGTTGCATGCACGATTACCAAAGGGGAATTGCTCTGTGGTTATGGATGATAGATATAGGTATCGCATAGATATTAATTGTTAGTTACAGGTATATCTTCTCCCTCGCTCTCAAAACGCTGCTTTGGATCTACATGTCTGCAGAACCAATTCGTGTATGCTAAGGGTATATCGTTGTCCGGACAGCTTAATTTCTAAGGTGAAATTGCATTAGGATAAAGTGAACTGCACTATTTATAGCACTTAGTTACACTGCGATGCACAAGTCCCAAGTTGAGATTGAGCTCCCCGTTTTTGTGGGACAAATAGGTGGCATGGACACCCTGCTGCAGGTTGCACCGCTTGGGCCCACTGTACAGTACTATGGGATCGTGTTCCGAAGCCATGCACTGCAGCTGGAATCGCTGTCCATACTTGATATTCTCCCCGGTGCGATCCCTACCATCTCCGCTGACTATTTTGAAGGAGTTTCGCACACAAGGCCGCTTCGAAGGCGCCACAGATAGCTCACAGTTCTCATTGATTGACTGGCTGTTTCGCACGACCTTTTCGTTGATGACCACCGACAAGGCGGCATTCAGATCGGTTGTATCCATATCACTGATGTTTATATGAATAGGCATTAGTTGCACAATAGCTCCGAATATAATGGTTTGCTTGGGAGCGGCCAAAACGATCTCCTTGTGGAAATTATCATACAAAGTGCGAGCTTTTTCCACCAGAAGTTCGCCGCGATCGCGTTGTTTCTTAAAGTTCACTATTTTGTCCTGAAAAATTGTGTGTACAAGTATTTTTTTACTATTTCATATGTTATGACCCACCTCCTCAAGGCAATTTTCTTCCACCCAATTACCAATTCGCACGCTGGGCTGAAACCGCGCTGAAATAGAATCCATATCGCCGACTCTGCAAGGCATTTTGTTGTGTTGAGGGTAGCTAAATAAACGTAGTTAATATTTTCGCGAATGTAGCTGTTATCGTGTAGTTTGTAAATGTAAATGATGTCATGAATTTTGTAGCTGGTCTATAAATGTTCGAAAATTAAATGGCTACTAGATACAGGCCATAATAATAAAGTAAATATGGGATTTCCTCACTACAATGTTAAAAAGTTTCCTCGCAGCTTTCGAAGAGCAGCACGCACCTGATCATCGCTCGCGGTTATTAATATTTTCGCCACTAATCACCAGAGACAAGTCCACAATTAGTGGCACAATTAGTGCTTAGTGACATCTTGAGTCACTATCAGTGATAGTAACGTGCCAGTGCAGTGATCTTAAAACTATCAAATTTAATTAAATTGTGCTCCGCTGTCCAACGGCCACGTGCCGGCAAGCTTAACACAACATCCGTTGGAAAGCTTAACAAACATCTGTGAGGAGCTTACCATTTGGTTCCAGCAGCAGATAAGTTCTGGCCTATGTATCAGATAGAAGCTTTTAGTTTCTATTCTGCCCCAAGATCAATTGATATTATTGCATACTCTTAGGCGTGCGATGAAACCCGGACAATTTGACAAGCCGCAGTCAACGACTACTAGTGCTACTAATAAGAACAAGGCAGTTCTAGGAGAGGAACTTAGAAATGCCGTCAACGCGCCCTCAGATAATGATACTCTACAAGTATCCGATTTTGCCGCCACAGCAGCTTCATTGGCATCTGCTTTTTCGAGCGTCAATGGGTCCACATCAGGAACCGCCTCGCGCTACCAAAGCCCTGCTTCAGGTGAAGCCTCGCAGCGCTTTCAAACAATAAAGCGCAAGTCATGCGCCTCCCCAAAGACTGATGGGAAAAAAGCTAACCTCGGCAAGAACGGTGATAACGTTCCCATACCTCAATCGAACTATAGTGGCAGCTCAAACCGTTTCGAATTGCTAGCGCTTCACCCAGATGACATGGAAGTTGAGAACGCCAACGACGTGCTATGTGAGAGGCCTAGTACAAGTCATCAAGCTGCCATTGCTGCGGCGAAGCGGGCCGCTAACTCTCCTGGCACCTCAGGTTCTCCCAACAAGACGCAGCCCAAACCACCGCCCATAGTGATGGAAGGTATTGAAAACGTCTCTCTGCTCATGCAAGAACTCAGGAAAATAATTGACATAAATAAAGTTGAAGCTAGGGCTTCACTTGGCGGTATGATGAGACTCTATGCAAATGACGCTACCACTTTTCGTAGCATTGTCAGTTGGCTTGAGCAGGAAAAATATGAATTCCATTGCTACCAACTGAAGGAAGATAGGCCGTTTAAAGTCTGCATTAAAGGCTTACACCACAGCACGCTTCATAGCCAGATTAAGGAGGATCTGGAAAAATTCGGACACAAGGTGCTTGACGTCCATCTGCCCCAGAGGCGCAGTGAGCCAGGCACCCCTGTAGCCAAGCCGGTAAATATGTTCTTCGTGAATATTGCCGCCGCGGCCAATAATAAGGAGATCCTGCTAGTCAAGGCACTTTGCCATATGCGGGTTATCGTTGAGCCCCTCCGAAAGCGCAATGCTGTTGTGCAATGCCATCGATGCCAACAGTTTGGCCATACGGCTAAATACTGTCGTAAAGCGCATATTTGCGTCAAATGTGCTGGCGAGCACGCTGCCAGCAACTGTACTAGGCCGCGCAGTGAACCGTGCACGTGCTACAATTGCGGACAACAGCACCCTGCAAGCTATTCAGGGTGCCCCAAATACCAGGCGTTCCTGCAACGATCTCGGCCCAAGCGTGGAGTTGGAGCTCGGCCTACTGTGAATAGCCAAACCGAGACAAATGATCAAACTAGGAGCAGACCAAGAGTAGCCACTCGTCAAGGTGTCTCCTATGCAGATGCAGCTAGGGGAGGCGTGCATGTCTCTCAACATGAACAGCAGAACAACCCAAACATAAACCAACGAACCAACAGCCGCAACCGCTCGACATCGAGATCTCGAGTTGCAGCTCAACGAGACAACAACCGCAACCGTTCAGCATCGAGATCCCGAAATACGGCATATCACTCATCTCTTGAAAATAACATTGAAAACATGATGCGAACCCTCAATGGAAATATCGATTCACTCCGCTCGTTACAGGATAAACAGACGGAGATGATGATGATGATGCTCAAACAGCAGCAACAGCAGACACAGCAGCAGGGGCAAATTCTTAATTTGCTTGCTGCCCTCCAAGCGCAACGATCAACAATATGATGCCGCTGCGCATTCTAATGTGGAACGCCGATGGCGTTTCCACGAAGCTGCCAGAGC